AGTCACATTTCTACATACCGGAGCTACTTGCTTTTGCTTTGCTTCTGTGGCAGATTTTGATTTTTTTTTTCAGACCTTGTGAACTGGTGGTCAAAGGTGGAAAGCACTGGTTAAATCCCCTGAACCTAGCTTTCTTCTTGCATGTGGTCTGCAGATGTTGTTTTGCATCATGTCTAGTCTGCTGCAGCTCCTAATACAGCCAGCTATGCCCAAATATTTGCACAACCAGAAAAAAAAGACAAATAACTGTCATGATGTCTCCTCACGTATCAGGAGAGCAATTAATCTGAATTGCACATATCCCATTAGCATTAACACATTAGCTTCAATATATTACAGCAGAAGCACCACACTGTGCTTGAAAATTTAAATCAAAGAGCCTTCTCGTTCTGGGTATTACTGTCTGTATTAAACAGTAAGCATCAGTTTTTTACTAATAAAAGAAGACATTTCTTCTCTTAAACTAGTGTGCCAGGAGCATGAATAAAAATATTTAATTACTGCAGAGGCTGACTTGACTTTTGCTCCAGTGCCACTGTGCATGCTTTATTTTCACTTATGTTTTTAGTAACGTATTTCAACCACTGCTGAATGTCCTGAAATTTGCAGGATGAGCTCTAATTTGGATCTGATATTTCATCTGTGACCAACATTAGGTTAAAACCTCGCATGTGAAACTCGGTCTGCATTTTGCTCAAAGCACTGTTGTGCTTTTAAATACAGCCTCACAGACCCACTCCCATGGAAATGCCAAGATAGCACACAAAGAAATATGGCAAAAAAAAAAACCCAAACAAACTCTCCAAATCATCTCTGAGATCATGCCAACAACTGTACTAGCAGTTACAGTTGGCACTGCAGTACAGACTTATAAAGCAGAACTAATGTGAGCATCATTTTTTTAGGGTAGCTCAGGTGGTACAGCAGGTCTTCTACTAAAGGTGGTGGGTGGGACAGATCACCAGAGAGGCAAGGGGAGCGACTGGCACCCTGACTAGACTTCTCGCCCCATTTTGGCCCCTCATGTAAAATGTTCTAGATCCGCCAGTGGTTGGTAGTTTGATTTCTTGCTGTTCCATCTTCTAGTCTGCAGGTCAAAGTATCCTTGGGTAAGATACTGATCCTGAAATTGTTCTCTAATGTGTGAATGCTAGATATAAAACACTTAAGCATAGAGGGAAAAAAGTGTTTTTGTGAATGGGTGAATGAGACATGTTGAATACTGTTGGCTCCTTAAGTAGAGTAGAGCTGTGCTATAAACCAGAACCAGAACCAGTTACTATTTCCCATAATATTAACAATGAATGAAACATGATGACACATCTGTTTCAGAATCAGTGATTAAAGCTTTTTTTTTGTTTTAGCTTGATGATAATGACATATTGCAACTTTCTGGGAAAAGCCTTGCTGACAGTTTTATTGCTGATTTTATCAGAAAATGCACCCAGTCCTGCAAAGTGGTGTTTTTATGGCTGGAGAGACTGCTAAAGTACATCTTAATATAATGCTGTGAGCATTTCCATCTGTCATCTATATTTGCTCCATCAAAAACCTTGCATATGCATTAAAGCCGCATATACATGTTCAGCGTGTTTCTCATGAGTATAGTATATTTCCCAGGCATCTCTGTATATTTAGACTGTATATACCATGTAATAATGTGCTCGGGGAACAGCCTGGACCAGCAGGTTTGAGGAAACTTGCTGAGTCTTTATTTACCTCAGTGCTTCCTTTGTGGTTTGAGTGTTCAGTGAATCACATTAATATGGAATTGTGAGTTTCTGCTATTTGGTGTGTGATACCTAACTGAAAAGAAAAAATTCTCTTTAGACACATCTTTTGCTTGCTATGAGATGACCCACCTTATTTAGGAACTCACTTAACATTTTTTTGCCATTTTCTCTGGAGCAACAAGTGCTATTAAGTTTAGACTGCTTTATTCATGCTTCTGTTGTTTTAGTGGAAAGCGAAGCCTTAAAACTGAGAATAGCAGATGACAGGATAAATTATGGGCAATGAAGGAAAAATGAGTCAATGTTTAGCTGCGGTGAACTTAGAGATTCAATAAAGCTGCTTTCAGTTGCTCCCTTATTCGGTGTCACCACAGCAGGCAGACTTTTTACTCTGGATGCCCTCTCTCACACAACACCAGAGGGATTTGTGTCTCCTTCTGCATTTATACTGAGGATCTTTTGCTTGCTATGCAAATGTGTAAATCACTATACTGTGGCACCTCTAAAACACAGTGATCCACTATTATTAAGAATATAAAAAAAACAGTTTAGAGGAATATTATATAGAAATACATTTATTTAGATTTTTGCCAAGAGCTGATATAATCTAACTCCCTTATATCTGCCTGCTTTGTACTGACCTGGCTGTCTGAAGACTGAAAAAAGGGGGGCGTGCTCTGTTTGCAGGTAGGCTGAACTGAAGCAGGTGTTTGGGGAACTGGAGACCGGCTCGCAGTTAGAGTTTAGTAGGGCGTGTGGCAGACAGAGAGTGGGCAGGGAGAGGAGCAGAAAAAGTCAGGTAATCCAGGAAAAAAGCAAAATAAACCTTGATGCAAAATGAGTCTAGTCATCTGGAGTAAACTTACAAAGAACTGAGACAATGCAGTCAGCTGAGACTGAAGACATCACTTGGATGAGTGATGAAACGTTTCTCCCACAAAACGCTACGTCCAGATGAACAGAATCAACCTTTTGGGAACTGAGGAAGTTGCACTTATCCAACAAAAGGCATCTGGAAAAATTGAAGCTAAGACACTAGTGAGGATAGTGATATACAGTATATATACATATGAGTGAAGCAGGGACAAATGGTCTGTTAAGATTGATATACAGTATGTTACATATATGAAATAAAAAGCCAAAGTATAAAAATAAAACGTTCTCTTCTTATTGGAGTTTGTGCCAGACTATTTTTGCCTGCATGCCAACCAAGCAAACTGTGCAACAGGATAGAAATAGACTCACACGCGCTCAGAAAACATGCTTCCCAAAATGCTGATGTGTTCTTTTAAGTGGAAAAAAGGTTAAACCTATCCGCAGCATATAAAGACTCCTTATTAAATCAGTCAATCAGTTCTTTTTCCTTTTCTCCAAAACATAGTTTTAGTGTTAGAGTTCAGAGCTAGGGTATACATGAAGTTTGGATAAAGAACTTGTTGCTGCTTCTTTTCTTTTCATATAATACCCATACTGCTAGAATTACTAAACAGCCCCCTCCATAGAGACTGTGCACTTTTATTTCATCCTTAGACTGTATAAACCACATTCTGACCAAGTTTTCTTCCACTGACTCCCTCCTCTGCAGTCAGATATTGGTCCATTTCCTCACAACCAGACAGACAGCAACATCTTTGGAGTGCCAGAGGAAGGTGGGATGTCTGGTGGCCCAGAAAGGTTGCCTGATCCTGGGCATAGAGCTGGTTCTGACAGCTCCTGGAGGATGGACGACTTAGAGGTCGAGCTGGAGAAGAAGGTGCAGCTTCTCGAGAAAGAGAGAAAAGCCTTGAGGCTGGAAACGGAGAAACACAATCAGGAAATCGAGCGGGGCATCAATAAACTACACCACCGAATCTCAGGGCTGGAGGAAGGTACGGCATCATTGCAAAGGGGGAAAAAATGGAAGAAAAAAGCAGAACATTCGTGTTTGTGTGCAGGCGCATTTTAATGTGCCTTAATGAAAAAGAATTTTAGAATGATGAGAGAAATGACGAGTGACTGATTAATCACTCACAAAATGAATTAAGTTACTAATGATGAGAAATAATCTGGCATAAAAAATAACCCTAGAGGTTTGACTTTCTTTCGCTTTTAATCAAATCAAGCCATGGGCTTTCATTATAATGAATAAATCATGCTCAACTTGTGTAAAAGAAAAAAAAGATGAGAAAGACTATAAAATTCATACCCAGTTTAAAAAACACATCAGATGCTGTGACGAAAATGCAGTTATATAATAAAAGCCGGGAAACTGTTTGATCTGCTTAACTGGTTTCTGGTTTCTGTCACTTCCCCAGGTTTCTCAGGGCATTCTTTCCCAGAGGGCTACAGATTGTCCTTCCCAACACGGACAAACTACATGTACGCTGTTGTGACGCACTCCGTGCCAAAGATGCGGGCCTTCACGATCTGCCTGTGGCTGCGCCCCGCGGAGAGAGGCATCGGGACCCCCGTGTCGTACGCTGTCCCCGAACAGCCGAATGAACTGGTGCTGCTGCAAGGCCTGCACGCTCCTGCTGAGCTGCTCATCAATGACAAGGTACTGAGAGTGTCTGACAGTGTGGGGAGTGAATACCTATTTCACAACTTCTCTGTAGTCCTCTGGATTTCCAAGGGAGCTTCTCAGCCTTTTTTCAAATGATTTTTCAGTTCAATTCAGTTTTGTGCCAAATCAGACAACAGTCACCCAAATATGCTTTATCTTGTAAAGACCCTACAGTAACAGAGAAAAAACCTCAACAATCAAGGTTCAAGGTTCAAACAACCACCTTTGAAAAGCAGTTGGTGACAGTGGGAAGGAAAAACTCCCTTTTAACAGGAAGAAAAGGGGAAGAGCAGCCATATTCTTTGACAGCTTGGGGGTGATGGGAGGAAGACAAGGTAAAAGACACACTGTGGAAGAGAGCCATGATCTATTTGATGATTAGAACCTTAAAGGCACTCAAAGCCAGCTCCTGCTTTCTGGATGGTTCATTCTCATGTACAATGTTTGCCACTAGTGGGGTACATAAAAAACATAAAATGGTAATGGTTTAATCCACTAGTCAGCTGGAGCCTTTCTGTGTGGAGTTTGCATGTTCTTCAGGGACTCTTCCAATCACCATCCAAAGACACGTTTGTTAGGTTAACCGGTGGTTCAAAAACAGCTATAGGTGTGAATGGTTGCCTCTCTGTGTGTTAGCCCTGCTACAGACTAACGACCTGCCCAGTGTGTACCCCACCTCTTGCCCTGTGACAGCTGAGAAGCTGTTAAGAATAGATGGATGGATCGATAAAAAATTATAGCCTAAATTTGAATTTCTACTGTCTGTTGAGGAAGAAAAAGTGCTTTGAATTAGCATACAAATAAGCAGAACACATCAAACGAAACAGCCAATCTAGACAAGCTAAATAACCCCATTCATGTGTTTAAATGATAAACTGAGATACCACCTTGGGTTGCAGGGTAGTGTAGCGCAGTGCAGTGGCTTTGGGCACAATCCAATGAAGTCATTATGGTAATAGATGCCTGGAGAAAAAGTTGTGTGTCCTTGGAGGTAACAGAATGTCTTTGGTACAAGTAAAAAGCTGTATAAGAGCCATCTTTAGAACTTTAGCATCAAAAGGTGTCTAAGGGCTTTCTTGTGACTTTAGAGCTGCATTTCTTTCATGCAAATGCAATCGCAGCACAAGCTGTCTGATGACCCGCCTTACCTTCAGAACTGTGGCACTCACAAAACCTCTCACAATGACATCTGCTTCGTCTGGACTGCCCTTTTGTTCCCCTGCTCTTAGGTGGCTCAGTTGCCTCTGAACCTCTCCAGGGGCAGCTGGCAGCACATCTGTGTGAGCTGGACACAAAAGGGAGGAGTGTGGCAGGCCTACCAAGGGGGGAGGCTGAAGGGAGAAGGTCATGGACTAGCCGCTGGACATCACATTAGACCTGATGGAGTGCTCATTCTCGGGCAAGAGCAGGTGAATAAAATACATAATTAAGTAACTAAAGTTTTAGCTGGTTAAAAGCAGACAAGAAGCCTAGAGAAAAAGTTCATTTGGCGAGTCCTCCTGAGTACAGCGCTGCAGTCAAAAGTTTAGCCACTGCGGCTGTGGCTCTGCTCACCTATTGGCTTCTCTGTTAGCTATAATTAAAACTAGAAAATGAAAGCATCAGTGACTTTGAGAAAGTAAGTAAATCCATGAATTATATTTTCTGCTTGCCTGCATTCAGATAGTGTGCTAAGATGTGATGCTATGAATGAGATGTGTATGTGTGATGGATACAGATCTGGTAGTTAAAAGAGCCCGCCCCACATGTCTACTTTTGTTTCTTGGCTTGTGTTCATACTGATCACCACATCTTTTTCATTTCCCAAATTCAAATCCACGCTCTTGCCAAAGGCAACAAAAAAGCTAAAGCTGTGCTCATAGGCATTAGAAATAAAAGTGCATTTATTTTAGGTATGTGTATTTTTTTTTCTCCAGGATTCTCTGGGTGGAGGTTTTGACTCATCCCAAGCCTTGGTTGGAGAGTTGTCCCAGGTGGGTCTTTGGGACCGGGTCCTGACGTCCAACCAGGTGGCCAGCTTAGCCCGATGTGGCAAAATAACCCAGGGCAGTGTGGTACCCTGGGCTGAGAATGGAGTTGATGTTTATGGTGGAGCAACCAAAGACCCCGGGGAGCCTTGCAGTAAACACAGCAGGAGTTCTCAGTGAACTGCAGGGGAGGGTTTTGAAGGGAAAGATTCCACATCTCCAGTATTACCACTAACAAGGGACGTTCTAAACAGTAAAAAACTTCGAAAACTGTGTGGCATTGGATAACAGTTGTGTAACATGGACAAAGAAACTAATGGCATACATTTATATGAAGTGAGAAGGGGCTTTACAGTTACTTCTGAGACACCTAACAGTCCAACAGATGCTCTTATCCTCTGGAAGGTTGTGCAATACAAGATAAATACAAATGTAGTATGCAAACAGATTGTATTTTTAAAGTACATATAGTCCATTTCTTAAATTAGAATATAAAATGCAAATTACAGTGTAGATTTGCTCACTTAAAAACAGCAGCTAATAGCTACTGTTAGCAGTAACAGTAGCTAATAGCTAATTAGAACTTGTATAACTACTTAGCCAAAATGCTACACTGCCATCTTTAAATAAATAAATGATTCCTCATTTTACAAAACATACTTTCTTGTTGGGAGTTTTGAGTAGAGGTGTTTGAATGTTGTAAAGCAGCCAGCTAACTTAGCGTACCAAACAATTTCTTTACTTAGATAAGCAATTAGACATGAAAGTCCTCAATCACTTCTGTTCAGTTCAGTTGAATTTCGTAGATCCCGAAGGCTGCAGAATTAAATGTATTACCACCGAAATGCATTTTAGTGCCAATACATTCAATACTGACAGTTTTTAGTTTTACATACACTTTAGAAGTGCTTACGGCTAATAGCTGATGAGTATTATTTAAAACGGAGTTATCAAGTTCTAATAGCTTCTGTGGATTTCAGTGTTTTTGTAAAATACCTGTAGTGGGTTGTTGAGGTAGAGAAAGTTGTCATCATTTGGAAGTTCAGGGCAATCCAAGCTTCTTAAGTTTTATTGGGAAAAATAACAAACTCCAAAAAGTTCTGTTAGTGTGTATATGGCACAGTAAAAGTGTTATAAGAACACACAGAGTGAATGGGTGTATTGTAAAGTTTAATGAGAGTAGAATTGTGCTATATAGATGCAGACCATTTACCTCATTAACAAGAAAAAAGGGAATTACAGCTGATGTGACAAGATTTGCAAGAAACATCTGATGATTATCCAGCATTGTGAAAGATCTTGATTTCTCTGTAAGACAACTATTATGTATTTACTCCCTAGATTTTGTACAAAATACAACATGAATGAGTTTAATGGCAGATACTGTAACTTTTGAAGAGTGGCAGATGATGTATTTTGAACACTTTTGCTAAGTTAGCCAGCTGCTGCAGTAGTGTTAATTATATACATTGTGTTAGACTGGCAATTGCCTTTTATCAAAGTCTTAACAAGAAAGCAAATAAAGAAAATTCCAACCCGTGGAACTTTTACTTAAATCAGCTAAAAATAGTGGTTAGCAGTCAGAAGTGTGCAAAAATTGAATTTTTCAATAGCACTTTATAATATGGCCTGTTACTAACAGTTTAATTCTCTACCATAAAATAGCATAAAATGCCATTTTATGGTATTTTATCTAAAATTATAATGTAATTTTTTAAACCTATAAAAGCTTAGATTCACTAAAAAGAGTGGTTTGTCTGTGAAGGTTCTCAGTCATCCAGGTCATCGTAGTCAAAGGAGCTTGCAAAGAAAAGCGTCTGGACTTTTCTTGAAGACGTTTCACCTCTCATCCGAGAAGCTTCTTCAGTTCTAAGGTCAAATGGTGGGGAGTCCCACAATTAACTAAAGAAATATCATTTGTGTTTTTACCGAAACACATGGAAATTTCCACCCACTAAAATTACGTACTTTATTCTTTACTTTATTACTTTATTCTTTTCTCTAAAAACTTCACCCCCTTATTGTCATTTGAAATGGAATACTGTTAGTCGTAGGCTGTATTATAAAGTGCTACTTTATAAGCAGCTTTTCCATTTATTCATTTATTTTTAAGCTGCCACGTTGTATGAAAAATAATGAGTTGATCTCAGTCTCAGAGATCTGACCTCTACTATGAAAGCCAGAGGTTGTGTCAAGCCAGCAGAAACCCAGCAGGGTTGGGCAGAAGTTAATTAAGGGCTGTGACTGCTTTAGAGTTTAGAGTCAAGGTAAGGTGATGAAAAATGCTGGAGAAAGTGGTAGGAATATTAAGCAGTAGGTGGCAGCCAGGAGTAGATGATGAAAGAGAATGAAAAGAGAAAGTGGGGATAGAGATGGATCGGATACTTGATATAAGTGATGCTACATTGTTTTCACCCCTGCATGATGTATTCATATGCTTTTATTGTCTTGCCACTGCAATGTGTTGCTCACCGATTTCACAGAAGAGGACAGAAGCGTTTGCATTCATGCAAAGGTGGCTGTCTTTGTGTCTGTCTTTAAAGGTCAGGGGGGTCTGTTTTAACCCCTAATTATCTGAAATTACAGAAGTATTTTTCCCTAAGGAAATCCTCAGTACAAACAGAATGTTTTTAATGTCTTTAATGTTTTTACTAATTTCTTGAATACATTTTTCTCCATTTATGTAACCTGAGAAATTGAGAAATCAAGGTAAAAATACACCCAATCAATAAAATGTCAAATGATCACATGATCACACTAGACCTTATCTTCTTTAAATGGATAGGTACATAAAGCCCTGCACATCTACATTCTTTTAAACATGCAGCCACTCAGTAACACGGGTGATCTGATATCTCTGTGTTGGTGTTCTTCCTGCATCATCATAATAACGTTGATCCAGTGATGTTGTCTGAGCATTCAGTTAGCAATCGAAATTTAAAGAAGTAAAGTTATTTCTTTCCAAGCTCTTCAACTAATGGCATACATTTATATGAAGTGAGAAGGGGCTTTACGGTTCCTTCAGAAACGCTTAACGGTCCAGCAGATGCTCTTAACATCTAGAGAGTTGTGCAATATAAAATAAAGATAAATGTAGTTTGCAAACAGATTGAATTTTTAAGGTACATATAGTACATTTTTAAAATTAACATGTAAAATTAAAATTATTATATAGCTTATGTAACGTTAGCAGTTAGCTAACCTAAACTCTTATGATTAGCTAGCTATACTCTTACCTTTAAATGAAGGATTCTACATTAACACGGATGATGTCTCTGCGTTGGTGTTTTCCCTGCGTCGTCACAATAACATCGGTCCAGGATCAGCAGACCAGTGACATTGTCTGAGGTCACTGTTAGCATTAGCCAAGAAGTTAGCTAATGCTTTTAAAAATTATCACAAAAAATCAACATGAGCAACCTTTAGAAAATAGCAAACCTAACTCGATGATATATTTATAATACTTTATGACTTAATAAATTAAAAAAACATAAAAAGAAATGCCCCTCGTTAAACAAAACTTTCTTTTCACCATATTGCAAAGCTATGACATCATAACATCCTGATGGGTTGGCTGCAATGTTGATTTTGGACCAACATTATTATGATGACAAAGCTAACAACACTTGGATATGAGATACAGTCAGCAACTATTTCAGCTGTAATACATTCCATGCATGAGTTGTACTGTTGTTTGTAATATGCCTTAGTGAGTTTCAGAAAAATCCACCTCTAACCATTATTCTCGACTGGTGTATGAGACATGCTGTTGAATGCAACATTTCTCTAACACTAGCTCTCCCTAGCATAAAAAAAAGGATCCTTAGTGGAAAGTGCCTGCCAGGGTGTTTGTACCCATGTAAACAAATCATCAAATGAATTGTCCTGATGTAAAATTCTCATCGCAAGATATTTTGAGCTAATTAAGCATCTGCGTTTCTGTGAATTCCCCGGGGCTTTTTTGAAGACGTAAGAGGTTTGAGTAAACATTTGAAAACGCCGTCACTAATTGAAACGTCTGCACGGTGCCGCCAAACTGATGCTAAATCAGGTCAGAATCATCTTGCTGTGGCTAATAGTGTCTTTGATGATGCCTCTCAGTCTGCAGTGGCGATATTAAATGTCATGCTTGGTGTCTGTTCAGCTCCCGCCTGAGCTTTGTTTGGGCTTTTTGATAGTAGTGTGGAGTTATATTGTTTACAGCTACTGGAACTGATGCTTTTCCATTGTATGCATTGGTATCTGTCTGATTTAATGTTGTTGAAATACTGTATGTCCATGTCTTGTGTGGTGTTGTATTGTTCTGCACATGTGCCCTGTACAAAACTCAAATCTTTATTAAAGTAATAATTTTCAGATGCAGTTAATGTCATCATTTCATATCTAACACTTTCTACAAAAGTGTAGTAGTTAATGTCTATTGAAACTATGAGAAATATGAAGATTTTGTTCACAGACACACACACAAGCCCACAAACACACCTGGACCTGGAAAGCAGCAGAAATAAAACCTGCTGGGAGAGCAGACTATTCTATAGGAAGACAGGTTGGCAGAATGCAGAAGAAAAATCACTGTTTCTCCAGCCATAAAGAGGGAAAAAGAAGGAAGAAGAATCATCCTTCTTTGCTTGCGAGGTTAATTAATACATAAAAAAGCCTTATAAGCAAATTAAAGGAGAGAGTTCAAGGAGAAAAAAAAACCCTGGAGTCTTTTGTCGCAAGTGTAGCAAGTGTATGTAGCTAGATGAGTAAACTGAGGAACTGCGAGACTCAGTGAGTCATTTGTTTTTGTAGTATTAAAATGAAAAGATTATATTTCTGTAGGAAAAAGACATAAAGGGTTTATGACCTCATTACAATGAAACACCAACAACAGCAGTGCCTGAACATGAAAGTGTTTTGCATCTGTAAGAAGAAAAAACAAAACAAAACATCTACCACTGACTTAGCACATTGGCTCCTGCGGTGCCGCTTTAACTAATGCTGTTAGAGCGCTCTCAGTGTTACATTGCGAAAATACCCCAGTGCTGTGATGTCACTTAATATATTTACTAAGTACTATATTGACTTTTAATGTACTTGTATTTTATGCTGGTTTCTAGTCTAGTGCAGACCAAAAGTAATAAATCTAACAAGAACAAGAGAACTCAAAGAGCACATCTCCCCCTGAAGGGCAACCTGCTGATGTCAGCCTGCTTTTCTTACAATGCAATAGTGTCAGGCTATTATGACGTCACTGTGACGTCGCAGGTCGCCATATTGAAAAAATAAACTGTGTTGCACAGCTCTCTTCATGCTCTATCATATGATATATTACTCAATATGGTTTCTTGAAATTTTTTTTGAAGGTCAACTTTGACCTTGGGCACTAACAGTGAAGGTCAAGGTCAAACACTCATTGTTGTGAAGTTTGAAGATGAGAGAATTGTGGATAAGATGATGTTTTTACTATTTTTGGTGTGAGCTCGACCTGATTTTCACCAAAATGAAATCCGCTGGAGTTGTTTTTGGTATCTATCCTCACACAAAATGTTAAATATAACTTGAAAAATGTGGACGGACGACTGCTAACAAACAGGCAGAGACAGATAAACAGACAGAACTGATTAAATCCTCTCTCACTTCAGGAGGAGAATAACAGCAGTCATTGTTCCCTCAGCTGCTAGACTGCAGAAGCTACTAGATAATCATTAAAACAGAATCAATTTATTAAACTTTTAAAAACTGAAAGCAGTGTGGCTTTGCCTTACACCTCTGTTCTTTCTTCCTAACACTGAGCAACTCATTCAACTGGAAAAATCTTTGATTTGAAGTGTATAGTCTTAACAGCATCGAGGTCATTTTAATGCAGAATTATGTTTATTTAGTAAATTATGGTCTGAAAAATAAAACAAAATGCTACTTTGTTAAAATGCTGGGTTGTCGCATTTGTGAGATGAGGCTGTCACTCTAAAGTAGTCATTTTAACCAAGTAGTTTGCAGTGACTAATACTAAACATACAGTTAGCTTTTCTTTTTCAGTATCTCTAACAGAAAAAATGACTTTTGTGTTTATAAATAAACCTTGACATGTTTTATCATCTGAAAAAGGGTCTCTTTCAAAGAAGCAAAAACATGAAGGAAAGAAACTTTACAAATGGCATCTAGATGAAACGTGCTCCTCTTCCTCCTCACCTCAAGCCTCATCTCCTGAACTGAAATCAGGACTCTAAGACCGAGTGAGTGTTCAACAGGTGAATGAACGAATGCGATTCCAACCTGACGATCCACAGAAGGCGGTGAACAGGAGGACAGGCTGGTGAGCACGGTGAATATTACGATTCCAGAGATGAAACAGTGGAGTTGTTTGGAGATTCTTGCCAAGAGACCAGCCCGTAGATATTGACAGCAGCCGAGTAGCGATGGCGCAGTGAGGAGAACTGTAGACACAGGAAAACGTGGCAAGTACAACAATCCGAAGTGAAGACACAAGGTGAAGGAATGATGGTTGCTCACCTCAGTGTTGCTGTCATCAGACAAAAGTGAGCATCACTGACTCACCAACCCATATCAGACTCCTTTCACAAAGCTCTACAGCCTCCTCCAGAGTAAATACACTTGGAAGCTTCACACCTGGCGTATTGACAGCTGGGGTAAACAGTGCACTGACAAGCCGACCCAGATAGCAAAAGACACCAAGTGGATCTGGATGGTGTCAGCGTGATCTCTGGGAACACTCACTGCAGATGACCAGAGTTTTTAAATGATTTGATTGACATAAATACATTTGGTGAGCTTTAATTAGACACAAATCCTTTAGACTTCAGTCTAAACTGATATGAAAGCAGTTTATTCTCATGTAACGTTAAGCAAGAAAGCAGGCAAAATGTCAAGAAAATAAACACTGTAAACTTTCCCCAATAAAGTGTTGATTCCACTGCAGCTCTCTTTTGCTGGATTGGATAAAACCCCACCTGTGTGCATCTTACTGTACGTGTGATGTAACTGTGCAATCCCAATGCCTATTTTTCTGTGTATTAGAATAGAATTTATATCTCACTCACTGTTCGCTCTTCGTCTGCTCTGCCATCCTCCACTCTCACCCTCCACTCATCTTCTCACTCCTCCTCCCCTCCTCTCATGTTTCATTTCTTTTACACTCCCTTCTCCTCTCCTTGTTTACTGTGACATGCTTTTTGCCCAAACCCCACATTCCCCGTGTCCCATTTGTCAGCCACTGCCTAAGCCAAGTCACCCTCAAGTTTACTGTAAAAAACACACCCCAAAAAAAAAAAAAAACAGAGAGAGGGAGAGAGGAGCCTACACGGCACGAAGGCTCAAGTTTTCAAGATTGCTGTCAGAAAGCTGTCACTTTTACAGACTTGTTTGCAAACAATGAGGGAGGCATGTGTACAGGATTTGTAAAAACACATCCATGAGAAGGGATTTAACAAAAAGTAACTCCATGTATGCTTCTTTGCCTCGAGGCATAAGTCATGGTATGACATTTCTGAGTCTTTCTCGGGCCTGCTTGTACCACCACTGTGACGGTTTGACAATCTGTCAAGAGACTACTAATAAAAACGCAACAATCATACCTGTAGGTGCAGGTAGTTTACGGCACTGAGAGGTACAGAGAAAAATCTGTAATCCCTAATTAGCACGACACAGCTGAGCGCCGCTTTTTAACAAAATCCTCCTTTTCAGCGGTGGACTTACATCTAAAGTCGAGCAGAGGTTCTCCAGCTTGTGCCTGGCAGTCACAGTCAGCTGTTTGATGTCGCACAGTTAGATCTTAACTAAGTCAAAGCCCCTCTAACCTTGTTACTGTGTGGCTGCTGTGTGCGAGGAGCTGCTTATACTCAGTACTGGGTTGGAACATCATTTTAACACTGATGGTATCCATCAGTAGCCACTGCCACAGTCAGAATATTCCCAACACAAACCACTTTAATCCTGTCATGTTTATATTCAATTAAACATTACTCAAAAAAGAAAGTAAAAACTCTTAGCGTGCATCACTCTAAATATTCCTGCTGGATCTGTAGCAGCTGAACAGGCCGTGCTGTGTTGTGTTACAGTGGTACAGCCAGTAACAAGACATAACGAACCATATTATGCAGTATGAAAATGTTCTCAGCTAATTTCTGTTGTAGCGACGTGTCTCACACCTGCTGTGGTGCTGTAGCTTTAACAGAATTGCCCGTCGCAGCCAGTTTCTAACTGCTTTTGGCAGGCTGCTTGGTGTTAATTTATTTCTCGGCGCTCGCAACATTTCTCCGAGGCAGCAAACGGAAAAACACGTGGGCGGAGACACAATTTCAATGTGTGATTCTTTCGCATTAATTCAAAATCTCTCTGTCACTTTTTTTTCTGTTTTAGCACCTCAAACAAAGGCATCAATCTCGGAAAGTGGTGCCTTTGCACAAAGAGCACGGTGACGCCTGCAGCACGAGGCGGAGGTGAAAAGGCACTTTGACGGGAATGGATATTTTGGCTTTGGCGAGGACTTAACCCGTGACCTTGTGGTTGCTGTTAAACCTCTCACTCTCACCATCTTTAGTGTCCAACACATATTATCCACTGTCAGAAGTTAATATTCCCCAGTGGATTATCCACCCAAACCCAATCCATAATGTTCCATCTAGGATTGTAATCCAATCTAATCCATGGGATAGATGGAGAGTTTGTCTGGTACCAATTCTAGCCAGACATGCTACAAAGTGAACTAGCCCATTAGTTCACCCATTTAAGTTACTGCACAGGCTTTTCTAAGCTTGAGTTTGACTGGTGAAGTGTGTTCAGGCTTTCCTTGCGGTAATTCAATTCAATTCAATTTTATTTATATAGCGCCAAATCACAACAAAAGTCACCTCAAGGCGCTTCATAGATACAGAGAAAAACCCAACAATCATATGACCCCCTATGAGCAAGCACTTTGGTGACAGTGGGAAGGAAAAACTCCCTTTTAACAGGAAGAAACCTCCGGCAGAACCAGGCTCAGGGAGGGGCGGCCATCTGCTGCGACCGGTTGGGGTGAGAGAAGGAAGACAGGATAAAAGAAGAGAGACAGAGGTTAATAACAGATATGATTCAATGCAGAGATGTCTATTAACACATAGTGAGTGAGAAAGGTGACTGGAAAGGAAAAACTCAATGCATCATGGGAATCCCCCGGCAGCCTACATCTATTGCAGCATAACTAAGGGAGGATTCAGGGTCACCCGGTAAATTAGAGACTATATAAGAATCAGTCCATTTACCATTTACAGTTGCTGTAACACTACATTCAACGGCTGCAGCTCTCCCGCTTCACATCAACAACAACAACACAAGCAGAGCACATGCCGTGCAGGTGAGTCCATCTTACCTGCAGC